GCCTTGAGGCGACGAATGGTAGCCAGGCCGCGGGCTGTTGCAGCATCAATGGTGTTTGACATTTCTCTTTCGGCTTGGTCCTTCTCCTGCCGGGCATTGGCAATGACAGAATTTAATTTGTCCTCCTCGCGACGAATAAGCTTCCGTTCGTCATTCAACTTATCCAGATGAGCCCTGGCTTGCGTTGCTTCCTCTGCCAACCGGACTCGGTCGCCGCTCCAGTTGGCAAGACGAGACCGTAAATCAGCCACCTCCTTCTCCGTCTGATCAATGGATTTCCGAATCCTAGCAACTTCTTCTTCGGCTTCCAGCTTGTTGGCCTTCTGGGTGCTCATTGTCATGTTCAACTCTTGAATTTCAGACCTCAGCCAGGCATCGCGCTCTGACTTGTTCTTAAATCGTGAACCGCGAGTTTGCTTGGCGAAGAGTCGATTCCGTGATGCCTCAGCCGTATCCAGTTGCCTTCTCACATCATTTTCTTGCTGTTTCTTTTTATTGTAGTCAGGCAGGATTTTAGCCAACTGGCTTTCTTTCTGGGACATCTCTGCCTGCACCGATTGCAGTTCGGCTTCGTGTTGCGAACGAGCTTGTTCTAGAGCAGACTGCCCATCCTTCAGGTCCTTGACTTTGAGTTCGATTTTGGCTAGAGCCTTGGCACCATCTCGCCTGTCTTCTTCGTGTTGGCGACGATCGATCTGCAGGAGCTCCAACTCCCGCTGCAAATTGTGAATCTCGGCATCCAGTTTTGCAATCACCTTCTCTCCCTTCTGAAATTCTGAGCGGCTTGAGTCGCTGGTGTCCAGACCATCTTGTCTAGCATTGTCAATATCTTCCAGAGCAGACTGGATGGTCACCTGCTCCCGATGGTGGTATGCGTATTCAAGGCATCTCCTCTCCCTATCCTTGTCCTGGAAGCCTCGCAGTTCTTCTTTTTCTTCTTCGAGTTCGCTTAGTCGCTCTTTGATATATTCCAGTAGTTCATCGATTTTTTCCCGCTTGTTGTTAGTCTCGTTCATGATTTTGAGTGACTCTGCGCGACGTGCTTCGTACACGTGGGTGCCGGCAACTTCTTTCAGCAAATTCAGTCTGTCAGACTCCTTCATGTTGGTCAATGCCGTAACGCGACCTTGTGGAACAATGTAGTAGGGATTCGAGCGTGAGAATCCCGCGGCCTCGAGGAGGTTCATTACATCCGTCTTGGTAACAACTTTGCGGTCCACGGAGTACTCATCCTTCTTCAGTCCGATAGTTCGGCGCAAAACAACTTCTTTGTTGCCTGTGGGAAAACGATCGTCACTGTTGTCGAAAATGATCTCGACGTACGCGGACATGACTGCCGAGCCTGAACCTTCATGGAGCAGACCCTGGCGCTCTTCACGGCTCATCTGAGTGTATGCATCACTCAGGACAAATCGCATCGCCGCAAAAAAGTTACTCTTTCCGGAGCCATTACGGCCAACGATGACGTTCGTTTTGGGAGAGAAGGGCTCGATAACAGTTTGCTCCTTGTAGCTGTCGCGAAGTTAGAGCACTGCAAGTGCATATTCGAGCAAACAAGCGTGTGAAGCATACCTCTTGAAGCCCTGGATAATAATCTGTTTGATATACATGGTGGGCTGCGCTGGCGCTGGCGCGCAACATCCGAGGTATCAGGGAGCTGCAGTTTTTTTTAACCTGGCCCTAGAAGTCGTTGTGATGGAGTGAAGTCGACTTCTCAACGAGATGCGACGCGTCTCTCGCCTACCGCGATTAAGCAGCGGGAGGTCGCGTTGAGGGACAAGCTAGGGGGGATGGACTGCCTGAGGCCACAATTCCCAACAGGCGACGCTTCTGGCTACCCTATACCTTTCCTTTTACCGGTGTGTGGAATACTCGGCCTTGATGTTTCTGTCCCCATATTCCTGATTGTCGGGATCTTCGATTAAAATTACTGGCGATGCCCATTTTCATGCATTTTTTGCTGGTTTTGTTGAAGTTGATGTGAGTACGGAGTAGGTAGTAACAGCTTGGATGTATAGGGTAGTTAGTTGACGTGATAGTGGAGAATCACAACTAACATGAACAAGGACGGCCAGGTGCCAGCAAGCCCAGAACATCCGTGCTAGTTTTAAGGTGAATGGTGACGCGACCGGTCCATCAGACAGTAAAAGCCCGGGATCGAAGGAAATCCGTAACACTGGTGCTATCCCTACGGTCATGTAGAGAAACAGTTGACTCGTTCAGTGCAAACAGCCTGGTCGACCTCGCACCCCGGTTCGGCAGTTGCGACCAGGACCCGCTCGGTGATGTTACAACGTGCAGCTGTGCTCCGTACTGGAGTACAATCTCCCCCCCCGGTTGCCATTTTACCGTACAGAGTAAGTGGCTGTTTTCGTCTCTGGTATCTGAACCCGCGGCCGCGGGCATATGGCAGTCCTCACTGCAGGACCATCTCAAACATGTGTGGCAGATATTGCCATGGGACATGCGTTGACGAGAAAGGTATTCAATATCAAGGTCTCGTGTTCGAGTGAGTCGGCCCCTATAACAGAGTAGGTCCTGGTGTACTCACGTCGATACTGGAGTGGAAGGTCAACGTTGGCCATCGTCAAGTCGTCAGTCACCCTGAAGACTTGGGCAAAATATCCTCCAAGATCTACAAAGCATAACACAGGCGCATCTGTTGTTACTCCTGGGTACACACGTGTGAGCCGCACGGCTCCAGGCCTGGCTCAATGCATGTCTCGCCTGCATTATCCAAAATTGTTGAAGGCAGAAACAGCACGGAGCATTTTCCCAGTTGCTCCGGCGCAGAGCACGAGCAGCAGCCTGGATAGCCGACCACGGGTACGGAGTGCAATTTGGAGCATCATCCCTTCAAGAAACAGAGGCAGTAAGCTGTCCAGAGCACAAGAGCGCATCGAAGGGTCCAGATGTCCATGTCTAGACGTCACTAATTCAGCCCCCAGGCATTCCGTGCCAGAGCTGCCAGACGGGTGGGAAATTCCACATGTACTCCGTTGTACACGATCCGAGGGTTCCACAGCAGAGATCAAAATGCATATGTCCCAGGTAGAGTGCCAAAAGTACTGCGTACCGAAGAAGCCGAAGAACCCGCCGTATTAGTCCGTAAAATAGAGGCACATGGCCACTGCAGGCCGAACCTTGAAAACCCAGGGCAAATGCACCAAAATGGGACGCGCCGAACGGGACGAAAGCAACCGAGGACGTGGACGTGAGCAGCGTTGCATCCATACTCGGTACTTTCTACAGAGTACGGAGTACATATGGATATGCAAACGGGTTGGTGTCTGAAATGCTTTGTGCGCCAGGTGTCATATTCTCAGGGGTCCGCAGATGAGCGAATGGGAAGTGGGCGGATGGGCGGAAAGGAAAAAATAATAAAATAAAAAAATGTGAAAAGATTCGGAGTACCAGCAGCCCGGTCGGCATGATTCGAGATGGCCCGCCACAAAACCACAAGATCGGAAGTAAAAGAATTTTTTTTTGAAAGTGCACGACTAGGCGGAATAACAAAATAAAGGACACAAACTCCAAATGTTCAAAAGGCTGCCTGCCATGCGGCGATATCAAACACTTCTGCCTGCAGGGCGTGCCTTCCTCCCTGATTGCTCCGTTCCCCGTGGGCCGTATGCACGCAATGGGTACGGGAGTACAGACGACGGGGTCAGAGGTATGGAGTCTTCCTCATGGAAGCCTCCAATATGCACAATACTTTGAAAATCCTACACGGGACATACCTAGGTACTTAAGTAAGCACCGAGCCTCAACGGCAATGCAATAAAGAAAAAAGAGGACACCCCTACCCGTGCAGCATGCAACATGTTCATGCTCATGGAACGAACAGGCTGCAAGTTTGGTGTGGTCCAAGCTAGGTACTTAAGTAGGTACAGTACAGTACGGATACGACGGAGAACTCCTGCACAGTACCTGGAGTGCACTCTAAGCTGGGTGTCGGCTGGGCTGGCACGCGAGTAATCCGTGCTTCAGCGCTGCGTACTCGGTGATCCGTACAGTACGGAGTACTTCAGGGTTTGGGCACCTGGCACCTGGCCTCTCACCTGGGGCAACTGGGGCACCCGAGCGGAGCCTGCTGCTCGAACAAAACGGGGCTAGCCACACCAAGAGGGAAATTAAGCGAAACGCAGCATCAGAAACCGTTGGTTGGCGTCCTGGGCGGCGCGTGCTAGCGTGTATAAAAATACAGGACACACATTATACAAAGACCGGGCCTGCCCTCCACTCGATTTCTCCCGCGCCGTCGCCTCCGTCCCCTAGAGCCGCCCAAGTCCGCGCAGCTCTGCTCAGTCAGCAAGCCAGCACGCTGCCTGACTCTCCATCCACACTTGCACCGCCGCACCCGCCACACTCTGAGCGGATTGTGAGTTGCTGCTCTTGGCCTCTTCATTGGCTCTGCATCTGCTCACAGGTGCAATTACTTGAGTCGTGATTGCCTCACTCGCATTTCATAACTCACAAATCCATATTCATAAGTTTCTGCCTGGGAGTCTGGGAGCACCTAAAACGGCCTGCATTTTGCTATAGAGAGGGACTGTTGCCCCCTTTCCCCGTCATTCGATACGTTCTCATGTATTCGATACCCCAGAACATATACTCCGTCCACGAATAGCTATATGGCCATTTCATAAAGGCAAGTTGCACTGCAGGTATTCTGAGCTGGTAGCATATCCGGTACACTTGGACACACCGTGTCCAAAGTAACAACATACCGGCCCATCTCCATACATCACATCAACTCATCAACACCAAGCCACTTGGGCATCGTCTGACTTAAGCTTTAACTAGCAATCAACCACACATCAACCGTCGCCTCCTAGGGGGTGCAGTGCGAGGGCCGCTTTGTCCGGTAACTGCACCTCGATAGCGACGCTTCCAGCTGTTTCCGCCACTCGGCGCCATTGTCGGAGCCGGCTTGTCATATTTACACAATCATTTAATATTTTACTCTTTTATTTTCTTTTCTTTTCGAATCCGACACAATGGCATCTAGACTGGATCGGTTGGTGACAATCCTCGAAACGGGGAGCACCAGGCTTATACGAGAAACCGCCGTCAACCAACTCGCCGACTGGCAAAAGCAACATCCCGATGAGCTTTTCAATCTATTATCCCGCGTGGTCCCCTACCTCCGTCACAAGGACTGGGAAACTCGCAGCACGGCAGCCAAGGCCATCGGCAAGATCTGTGAAAACGCGCCTCTGTACGACCCAAACGAAGATGATGATCCATCGGAGCCAAAGAAGGAAGAGAATGCCGCCGAAAATGGCCATGTCAAGAAAGAACAGACCGACATGGAAAATTCCTTAATTGGGCATGACCTACTCAAGTTCGAATCCCTTGATGTCAACTCTATTTTGACTTATGGTAGAGAGCTGCTCCGAGGAGGTGGCATCGAATATAGCTTGGCCTCATTAGATCCTCAAGCGAGACTAGAGCACCAAAAGAAAACTCTATTGGGTCGTCTTGGCTTGTTGGGACGCAAATTTGAAGACGAGGAGATGCCCGTTGTCGCACAAAGCCAGGCCCTGCCCATGACTCCCATAGATGGTAGCAACGGCAACGGACTAGCCCGAAGTGACAGCATGTCTCAGAGTCAAGGCGGAGAAGATTCGCAACTTAGCTCAAGGCAACTCAACGTGTTGAAGCGAAAACGAAAGAGAGAAGCTATGAAAGCCTCTCAAGGCAAAGGTGGATTCGGTGACCTTTCTCTGCGACGTTCAACGACGGCGGGATCCGAGAGTTTAACTGGAGACGAGATGCCTGTGGCTGAAGGAGAGTCCAAAAAGAATGGCAAGATGAACGATTACTTCAACCTGGACCGGCCGACTGATGTTGACGAAGACACCAAGGTTGTTAGTGAGTTCAAAGGCCCCGTGATCCCCATCAAATCAGAACTGGAGGTAGAGGATGCACTGGAAGGTGCTGAGTGGCCGTATGAACGATTATGCGACTTTCTCAAGATCGACCTCTTTGATTCTTCGTGGGAGACACGCCATGGGGCTGCAATGGGCCTGAGAGAAGTTATCAGGGTCCATGGTGGGGGTGCCGGACGCATTCGCGGAAAGGGCAGGGGTGATAACGAGTCACTCAACAAGAGGTGGCTGGACGACCTTGCATGCCGACTTTGCTGTGTCTTGATGCTGGATCGCTTCACCGACTACAGTTCGGACACCTCTGTGGCCCCTATCAGGGAGACTATTGGGCAGACTCTTGGTTCCGCCTTGAAGCATATCCCCTCCAAGTCGGTTTACGACATCTACCGTGTCCTGTATCGCATGGTGATGCAGGAAGACCTTGAATTAGAGCGCCCTGTCTGGGCTGTGTGCCACGGTGGTATGGTTGGTCTTCGATATGTTGTTGCCGTGAGAAAAGATCTCCTTTTGCAGGATGGCGATATGATTGATGGTATCATACGGGCGGTCATGAAGGGGTTGGGGGATATGGATGATGATGTTAGGTCTGTCAGCGCCGCCACGCTCATTCCCATGGCAAGAGAATTTGTCGCCATGCGCCCAGATCAACTGGATGGTCTGACGAGTATTGTTTGGGAGAGTCTGTCAAACCTAGGTGACGACCTCAGCGCCAGTACTGGGCGCATTATGGACCTTCTCGCAACATTGTGCGGCTTCCCAGAAGTCCTCGACGCTATGAAGGCATCAGCAGCACAGGATGAAGAGCGGTCTTTCACCCTTTTAGTCCCTCGTCTGTATCCATTCCTCCGTCACACCATCACGTCTGTGCGGCTCGCTGTATTGAAGGCTTTGCTCACATTTGCTCACCTTGGCGATGATACTTCGCACGGTTGGCTCAATGGTCGAACTCTTAGGCTGATTTTCCAAAACATCCTCGTTGAGAGAGACCAAGAAACGCTCAACATGTCACTGGAGCTATGGAATGCCTCATTGGGCAACCTGGCGAAAAACCCAGCAGTTCTTGCGGATGAGTTTGCACCTCATATTGATTCCCTCATGGAGCTTACCTTGCATCCAATCGGCATCTCGCGAAACCCCATTCCGATGAACGCGACGCTATTCCAAAAACCCTCCGGTGGAACATATTCGGCACAAGGCATGGCGCCGCCCGCTGGCCGACGACTGTCGTCTCCGGATGGTGCGGATAGAGCACCAAAACGACGACGCAAGTCTACTAAGACGGAAGAGCCGGTTTCAACCGGAATGACTCACGATGTTGATGGCCACATGATGCAAGGTGATGTTGACTTGGTTGGCATGGATGTACTCATCCGATCTCGTGTATCAGCGGCTATCGCCATGGGCAAGATCATGTCTCTGGTCCCGCCATCAAATCTCGACGACTTTGATGCCCTACTGGTGCCTGGATTGACATCTGCCTTTTCCTCGACGCAGCTCAGTGCCTGCCTAGTCATTGACGAATTCGCCAAGAACTGTACAAGCCCGAATGAACCATCACGATATACGGAACAGCTTCAACGCATGGTAGAACTGGACAGGCCATCCTCATATAGAGACCTCGTCAGTTTCGTGCAGCGGGCTAGGACGCAGTGCCAGCAGCTCATTCACCTGTTCCGCGACCATGGCAAAGTCTCACATGGCAAGCTTCCAGTACTTCCGGTCGTTGTGCAAGGCGAGCCAGAAGCAGGACCGAATGCCTTCTCAATCGCTACGGCAGAAAAGTGCGTCGGAGACGATTTCGAGAGGCTAAAGAAGATAATGCCACCTGGACAGCGCTTGATTGCTAGCCAGCAGCTGACAGAGGCTAGAAGTATCGCCGTGGCCGCTATCGAGGAAGCCAAGGCGTTTAAGGACGCCCGAGATACTAGAATCAAAGCTGGTGCAGCTTGTGCCATGGTTGCGATGAGACTGCTGCCGAAGAAACCAAGCCCCCTGATTAAAGGCGTTATGGACTCCGTCAAAACAGAGGAGAACCAACTTCTTCAGAATAGATCTTCCGCAACCATTGCCAGACTTGTCCAGCTTTTCGCCGAGAAGGGCCGGAAAGGGCCTGCTGATAAAGTCGTTGCTAATCTTGTCAAGTTCTCGTGTGTTGAAGTTGCGGAGACCCCAGAATTCCCGGTTCATGCCACCAAAACATCCTGTATCCTCTCCATGCAAAAGGAAGAAGACAGGGTTGATCATCCGGATGCAGCGAAGTGGGCAAAGGAGGCCAAAGCCGCCAGAATCACCAGGCGTGGCGCAAAGGAAGCCCTTGAGATACTTTCAAAGGCTTACGGTCCCACATTGTTGGAAACAGTTCCCAGCCTTCGAAAATTTATGGAAGAACCTCTGGTCAGGGCCTTCACAGGCGACCTCCCTGCCGAAGCAAGGGACCCTGAGAGCGTTTTTGGCCAAGAGATTGTCGATGCCATGTCCGTCATCAGGACAATGACACCAACACTCGACGTTGCCTTGCATCCATTTGTTATGAAAATGTTACCGCTTGTCATCAAGGCGCTCCACTCGGAGCTCTCAGTGTTCCGATACATGGCAGCCAAGTGTCTCGCTACGATTTGTAGCGTCATTACGGTTGAGGGCATGACTGCTCTTGTTGAGAATGTCCTCCCATCAATTAGCAACCCCTTGGACCTGAACTTCCGCCAGGGCGTCACTGAGGCCATCTACCACTTGATCGCGGTCATGGGTGATGCAATCTTGCCATATGTCATCTTCCTCATTGTGCCGGTTCTCGGCAGAATGAGCGACTCTGACAATGAGATTCGACTTATTGCAACTACATCGTTTGCTACGCTGGTGAAACTTGTTCCGCTGGAAGCAGGAATCCCTGATCCGCCCGGCCTGTCTGAAGAACTTCTCAAAGGCCGAGATCGAGAAAGGACATTTATTGCCCAGCTGTTAGACCCTAAAAAGGTCGAACAATTCAAGATACCTGTTGCTATCAAAGCTGAACTGCGCTCATATCAGCAAGAAGGTGTAAACTGGCTTCACTTCCTCAACAAGTATCACCTCCATGGCATTCTCTGTGACGACATGGGCTTAGGCAAGACCCTCCAGACAATTTGCATTGTGGCCAGCGATCACCACCAACGACAAGAGGAATTTGCCAAGACAGGCGCTGCTGATGTGAGGCGACTACCATCCCTCATTGTTTGCCCTCCCACTCTTTCTGGACATTGGCAGCAAGAAATTAGGACATATGCACCGTTCCTTACAGTCACAGCTTACGTGGGACCGCCGGCTGAGCGAAAAGCAATGAGAGATAAACTTGGGGAGACTGATATTGTAGTGACATCGTATGATGTATGCAGGAACGACACAGACATTCTGGACAAACATAGCTGGAATTATGTTGTTCTTGACGAGGGCCACTTGATCAAGAATCCCAAGGCGAAGATCACTCAGGCTGTGAAGAGGCTTGCGAGCAACCACCGCCTCATCCTGACTGGCACGCCGATCCAGAACAACGTATTGGAGCTCTGGTCACTGTTCGACTTCCTCATGCCAGGCTTCCTTGGCGCTGAAAAGGTGTTCCTAGACCGTTTCGCCAAGCCGATCGCCGCCAGTCGTTTCAGTAAAGCATCATCAAAGGAGCAAGAAGCAGGAGCGCTGGCAATTGAGGCGCTCCATAAGCAAGTGTTGCCATTCTTATTACGACGGTTGAAAGAGGAAGTGTTGAACGACCTGCCGCCAAAGATTCTGCAAAACTATTATTGCGACCTCAGCGACCTGCAAAAGAAATTGTTTGAAGACTTTACCAAGAAGCAAGGCAAGAAGCTGCAGTCGGAGGCTGGTCGTGATGACAAGGAAGCAAAACAGCACATTTTCCAAGCCCTGCAGTATATGCGGAAACTGTGCAACTCACCGGCCATGGTTATGAAACCAGGCACTCCTGTTTACGACGACACACAGAAGATCCTACAAAGGCAAGGAACGTCAATCGAGGACACAATTCATGCCCCCAAACTTACAGCGTTGAAAGACCTCCTGGTTGACTGTGGAATTGGTGGCGATGATGGAGATACCAACGATCCGTTGTATCAACCAATCAAGCCACACCGAGCGCTTATCTTTTGTCAAATGAAGGAAATGCTCGACATGGTTGAGAAGAAGGTTCTGAAAGAGCTTTTACCTTCGGTTTCTCATCTTCGACTGGATGGATCTGTCGAAGCAAACAAGAGACAGGATATTGTCAACAAATTTAACAGCGATCCATCCTATGATGTCCTGCTTTTGACGACTAGTGTCGGTGGCCTTGGGCTCAATCTGACTGGTGCCGATACCGTCATTTTCGTCGAACACGACTGGAATCCGCAGAAGGACTTGCAAGCCATGGACCGTGCGCACAGAATTGGACAAAAGAAGGTGGTCAATGTATACCGCCTCATTACGCGTGGTACCTTGGAAGAAAAAATCTTGAGCCTTCAACGATTCAAGATTGATGTAGCATCGACAGTTGTCAATCAACAAAACGCAGGGCTGTCGACGATGGATACGGACCAGATTCTTGATCTATTCAATCTGGGCGACTCTGGGCCCAACTTGATATCTGATAAGCCGCAAAAGGAAGTGGACGGACGGGAAGAGGATATGGTAGATATTGAGACTGGTGATGTTCTACGTCAGCCAGGCAAGAAGGCCTGGCTGGATGATCTGGGTGAGCTGTGGGACAACAAGCAGTACGAGGAAAGCTTTGACCTGGACGACTTCATGAAGACGATGTCATGAGTCAAGCCTTGACGAAACGTGGTCATTGAGATGGTTGCTTCACTAGCCCTTTAGTTTTCATCTCTCCATAGGAGGATATCGGAGTACTTGGACCTGACTTTTGGGAGCATTTGGACATGCCTGGCGCACGCGGTTAAGCGAGTGGATTTGGGCTTTGTACACTAAATAGAGATTAAGCCGGACAACTTGTACGACTACCCAAATAAAGGCGCACGGAAGACACTGGAGAGTTGATATCATGACACATTGACCCCGCGACGAGTGAATATCGCGTGCATGCAATACTGTGCACATGTTGGGTAACTAAATTATGCGGCGGATGGTGGGGGCGGCTGGTGGGCATGTCATGTCATGTCATGGCTTGTCCGCTGTGATAACATGTTGCCCCGCCAAGCTCTTCTTGTCCAGCCCTTCCTGAATCCTGAGCCCGGTGTCCCGCACTGCATCTCCCAAGTTCCATTGACTTCGTTCAATACGATAGTGACACCCATGACTTGTGTTTAACAACTAGGCCGCATATTTCAGACTCTGGCCCTGAACACGTAGCTAGGATGCCTGTCGACTATAGCAAATGGGTAAGCAGCTAGCGAAGCTCCAAAATTTGAGCTGTTCCCCAAATTCCCCGCCCCTTGCCTTGGTGATGATGACATGCTGATGCTGAGATGCCTTGCAGGACGCGCTGGAGCTCAGCGATGACTCCGATATCGAAGTCCACCCCAATGTAGACAAGCGATCCTTTATCCGTGCCAAGCAAAACCAAATCCACCAGGAACGACAGCAACGCAAGCTCCAGATCGAAGCGTACAAATACGAGCGGCTCATCCACGATGGCCTTCTGAAGCGCATTTCGTCCCTGCTGTTGGCGCTGAGGACACATGCTTCGGAGGCTGCTGGCAGAAACCCTGGCGAGATTGCATTCAAGGCTGTTATGGAAACGGCCGGTGACCCCAAGGACGACCAGGTTCCTCCACGACCCGAAGGACTACACAGCGACGGCAAGGAGCCCAAAACATACTCACAGATGATGGCTGCGCTGCTGGACGAAGTGAACAAGGCGCTTGACGCGAAGAAGCCCGATGACCGGTATCAGGCGATGATTACAGAGCTTCAAGGCCACGTGGACAAGATTAACGAGATGCAAAAGGAGCTTACGCCGAAACTCGAGAAGCTTCTCAAAGAGGAGGGAAAGAAAATTACAAGCGCCGATATTCACACTGGATTCGACAGTTCACACGTTGCGAAAGCAAAGCCGTCTGAGAAGAAGGGTGCGTCCACCGAGGTGGAGCTTTTGAACCCCAATGCTTTATCTTCAGACTCGCGGTCACCTGGCGACAAGGCGAAGATTGATGAGGAGGGAGAGGTCGAGGCTTCTCCCGCTGCCAAAAAGTTTGCCCAGATTGACCCCAACGACTACACTGCCAGTCTGCAGTTCCTCTCACAAAATCCACAGATCTTGACGGAGAAGGAGACGGACGGCCTTTTGGTGCTGGCCTTTGATGCAGCACTGGAAAAGAAAGATGACTACTGTCGTCAATGTGTCCACCAGGCTTTGTTATTACAGTACTGCAGGCTGCTCGGGAAAGACGGGGTTAGACTATTCTTCCAGAGAGTCACAACCAAGGGTCATCAGGCGCAGACCGTCTTTTATGATGATGTCCGAGACACATACATGCGCATCAGGAAGCGGGCGCAGGAGATTGTTGCACAGCGCGCCGAGGAACCCGAGGAAGGCGTTGAACAGATTCAGCTGCATGCCGTTGAGCCAGGGACCGTTATTCAAATCAAGGTGCCTTCAGCCGAGAGCCAGGACGCTGATGAACAGCATGCCCGTGAAATCTTTGACGGATTCAAGCCGGAGATGAAGAAGGCGCTGGAGTCGGGGAATCTGGATGAAGTGAACAAGGTTCTAGGTCAGATGAAGGTCGAAGAGGCTGAGGAGTTGGTTGCATTGTTTGGAGAGGTAAGTTTGTGAGGCGTTTCCACGGTGGACGATACAACTGACATTTGTGATAGGCCAATATCCTTAGTCTTGAGGAACAGATTATAGATGCCACGACAGAGGAAGGCCAAAAACAGTTGAAGGAGCTGGAGGCGGCGGCCAAGGCGGAGGCGGAGGCAGAGGCCGCGGGACCTGTGGGGGACCCTGAATGAGATGGGAGCTGGGCCTTGGGGCTGTAGTGATGCGCGATGTAAAAGTATATCATGTCCATGGTTGTCCGATGGCGGTCAGGTCTGCTCAGATTGGGGCACAATATCACTAAATTATTAAACTCGTATCCTCGTCCCCAGGGCAGTAGTAAATACATACATAGAAGTGTATTGGTTCATGTTGTTCTCGGCGCAGACCTGGTTGTGGACGCCATGTACGGATTATCGGGCCTCGCTTTGTGCTGCCACAAGCTGAGAGACTACGGGTGTTATAGAGAGAGTGGCGATGCGTGTTGCGGTGGTTGGGACACGAGCGACGAGATAAAAATAGCTGCGGCACTTCAGCCACACAACCAGCCACTTTTCAGTTGCTGGGTCTGGTTTTTTCGATTGATACTTGGTAAGTACGGGGCTGGGAGCAGTTGTCTTTCTTGGCGATTCGCTTGACGATGCCAATTTACAGGATAGGAATCAAAGACATAAAATGCCCCCGTACTTTCGTGACGTGAATGGTCCTCGTTAAAACCCACAGATTCCCAGGGGTACAGAGATTGGTTCATCTCGCTCATCAGCGTCTCACCTCGCAACAGCCTGTAACAGGCCTGCTCCACTGCTGACGTTGGCCGCGACGCGGCGCAGCACCGCCTCCAAAGACGAGCCTGTATGTACATATACCTTGGTTGCTTGGTAGTTGATGGCGTGTGGGTTTCAATATTTGGCTTCTCGGGACAGCACGGAGTACAGGGCACCTGCCTACCTGGGTGCCCTGACCTGGACTAACCAGACATACATTGGACCTTCCTCCTCTTCCGCATCCCTCGTGTTGTCCCTCTGCCTTGTGTTTCCGTTCTTTCCTTGTGCTCTGGACAATAGATCATTTTCTCTTCTTTACACTACTTTTTATTTAACTCACAGCATCCACGCACATCGGCTCCGTTTCTTATATTTTGGCATTCTTTTTTTCCTGGCCCCCTTTCCCGTTCCGCCTCGGCATTTGAACTTCTGGCTTAGTGCTCCCCTGATGACGTTGCTGTCTTCGTAACATCCCAGCTTCCTTATACGATTCACTTGTGTTGTTTTCCTAAGGGTGCAGCCAATTTCATTTCCAAAAATAAAGAAAAGAAAAGGAATGAAAACATAAACAAAGACAAAAACTCAGATCCGTCAGCTATTCCTCTCCATTTCGACCCTCCATCGCCACAGCCATGTTCACACCATTGCGGCAAGTCTTGCTCGCAGCGCTGGCCGCTACCTCAATCCGCGCCATTCCGCAGGCAGCTGCAACGACAGCCGCAGTTCCATCAGCCTCGTCAACATCCTCCTCCGGCCAAGCATGCAATAACTCGCCGACCCTCTGCGGCCGTCAATACAATGCCGTGACACACATGGGCGCCCACAACAGCGCCTTTCTCCGAGACAGCAGCACGGGCAACTCCCTCGCCGGGAATCAGTTCAAGAACGCAACGGCGGCTCTGAATGCCGGTCTTCGACTCCTTCAAGCGCAGGTTCACAAGCCAAATTCCACACTAGAGCTCTGCCACACCTCGTGTGACTTACTAGACGCGGGGGCCCTCGAGTCATGGCTCAAGGACATCAACGCCTGGGTAACCAAGAACCCCAATGACGTGGTAACCCTATTGCTTGTTAACTCGGACACGGCCTCTGCCTCTGACTACGCCGCCGTCTTTGAAAGCTCTGGACTCGCCAAGGTTGGATACAAGCCGCAGTCAAACGTTGTGACGTCGACCTGGCCGACTCTCCAGTCCATGATCTCCGCCAATGCCCGGGTGGTCACCTTTGTCACAAACATGGACTACTCTGCTTCTACGCCATACCTCCTTCCCGAGTTCGACCACGTCTTTGAGACGCCCTTTGAAGTCACAACCATTGGCGGCTTCAACTGCACCGTCGACCGGCCATCAAAGGCCAACCCGGCATCCAGCTCCCTGTCCAACGGCTTCATGAGCCTTGTCAACCACTTCAAGTACCAGAGCCTGGTAGGCAGCATCCAGGTACCCGACGTGGACGCCATCAACACGGTCAATAGTGCCGGTACGTCCGAGACAGGCAACCTGGGTAAGCATCTGCAACAATGCAAGACGGAGTGGAACAAGGCTCCCAACTTTGTGCTTGTCGATTTCTGGGACAAGGGGGACCCCATTGCTGCGCTTGATAACATGAATGGCGTGACTGATGCCACGGGGAGATCTACGACCCAGTCGAGTGGTCAGTCGGCCGGGAGCAACTTTGCCAAGGACAGGAAGTTTGGCATCGGGGCTTTGGTGGCTTTTGTTTCGGCCGCAGTATTGTTGGTATAGACGAGTTGGGAATCCGCAAGTATCTGATTTTGTCTAGCGAGGCGTTTTTGGAATGGCACTCTCTTTGCGTCTAGGGGAATACAGGAATCAAACAGCATTAGATTGGACTAGATAGGTGTACAACGGCATCGGCCAATGGTAGGTTGATGTTGTACAATATACGAGCTTCTTAAGCTTGACTCTTGGATGGTTATTCTGTAAAGCGAAGGACGCATTTCCATGTCCGACATGTCAAACATGTAATGGAGGGCGGTAGAGACACCAATGACTGCTACCATTTCATTGCTCCAGGCCGAGTGCATTGTCCTAGTAAGGATACTAGAAGTATATTACTAGTACTACGGGTGACTGCCGTTAAACGCCACATGTAATCTGAAACTGTCTAAGAAAAAACGTGAGAACTGGTACGTATTTTCCCGAGACATTAATGGGCCTTTTTTTTTGGGTTGTTTTTGAGAAAAGGGGGGCGCGTCGGACAGTAACAGGACTACCTACATATCTGTAGTTTCAGAATGCTAATAAACACAACTTCCAAGTTGTTATATAGTTTCATCCGTGTCTTTATAAAGACCCGGCTCATTCTACCGAAAATAATTCCAATGGCAAGTACCAGTTTTTGCTCTTCCCATTCCATGTGAAGGAGGCTACAAGCCGTACGTACGTCCGGTGGAGCAGCGGCGTCGGCTAAACCCAGAAACGCCAACTTCAACCTTTAGCCGAAATCTGTTGTCGGCCGACATTCCACCAAAGCTAGAACGACGACGACGGACCCCGTCTTGTTCAAGCAGACGCGTATCCCGGCGATCGCATGGTATTCCCTTACAGCGATGGACTACAACTCCATTCCCACCCCCGGGGCGTGCTACGCTGACTTTTGTCTCATCCCGGTACGCGGCGTCTACGTGGAGCGGTTTCCTCTCGGGTGGAAACATGGCTGACAGCCGCTGCAGGTCGGCACGGGCAATGTTTCGGTGGCGGAGGAAGTCGCGCAGGTGCAGCGCGTTCTGGAAGCCAGCGGGTTGAAGTACACTCTTCACTCGGCGGGCACAACCGTCGGTATGTCTGGCATGAGTCTGTGACGGTGGGGTTTAAGGGGAAGGAAGGAAAGGAAGAAAGTGTCTGGTGTTTTTCTTTTGGCTGACGCAGGGTAGAGGGCAGCTGGGACGACGTCATGGCGGCCATTGGCAAGGCGCATGCGGTTGTGCATCAGAGGGGCGTGGTGAGGGTGCAGTCGAGCATGCGCGTGGGCAGCAGGTATGTGTGTCTGGTTTTGCGCCACGACGTGTCGCCGTGTTGCTGACTTGGGAGCAGGACGGACAAGAAGCAGACTGCCGAGGACAAGGTCAAGAGGGTGGAGGACTTGTTGGGAAACAAGAGTTGATGGGTTCAACAGCAGCGGCGTTTTCATTACAACGCGTTTGGAGATTGGTTTTGCTATTGCGTCCAGATGTGAACCAGCACACTTTTCCTTTTCCTTTTTGTTTTTCATGTAGTCAATTTGGGCTTTTGATTGTAACAAGGACTACTCATACAAAGCACCGTTTTCAATATTAAACCCAGTCCATACGGGCCTGCCAGACACCGTAGCCTCGTAACTCCCCGTCATCGAGCCCCAAGCAGCCAAAACTCCCAAAACGACTTATCGACTTATCCCCGCATGGTCATTTTCTTCTGGCTTCTTCGAAGCTCCTTTTCCTTCTCTTTTTCAAGATACTTCTTCTGGGCTTTGGCGTCCAGACCCTTCAGTTCGGCGTCACGCTTGGCCTTCTTGGCCTTCTCCTTCTCGAACTGACGCTCCTCGCTCTTCTCCTCCTCGGCAGCCTTCTTGATCTGGGAGATCATGGCTTCGCGAGTAGCACGGACCTTCTTCAGGACCTCGGGGCGGAAACGGCCATTCTGGACAAGGAAGTCGGGCAGGCGGAGGAAGTACGAAAAGATGGGAAGAAGGTTGTCGTAGTTGTTGTCAGAGGGGAGACGATACTTGAGGAAGATGCGCTTGCGGGGGGCGGCGTCATCCAGCTTGACGGGCCTCTCGACAGGCTGGTCGGATACAATGAGGTACTCGAACTTGTCACCAGCGGCCACGACGGCGTCAATGAGGTCCTGGGTAAGCAGGGTGTCGGTGACCTCGGCGCTCTCGCTCATAACCGTCAGCCAGTTGGGCAGCTTGGAGTTCTCCTTGGTGGCGGTGAGAGTGACATCGTATCGGTCCTCGCGGAGACGCTTCATGCTCTCCTTGTTGACCAGGGCCCAGACGAATCCATCATAATTGCTCTTGGCGTCCTTGGCACGGGCTTCCTCAGAACCAGGAAGAGAGGGGATAGTCAAGTTCTCCTTGCCGTCAAAGGGGTAAAGGAACGCTTCCATGACATCGCTGGGCGTGGTGAAGACGTCGCTGAAGAAGGAGGCGGCCGTCTCGGCTAGGTTCATGATGGGGTTGAACTTCTTGGTCAGAGTGAGCTTGACGTCGACAAAGGCCGTGTTCTGTCGTCCCGAAGCGTACGTGGCGAACTCGAAGAGTGACTTCTCCTTCAGGAGGGAATCGGGCTGGATATCCTCATTATCCATGGTGGGCACGCCGCCGAAGCCGACGAGAGCAAATTCCCTCCTCAGGACGGAGGCATTGGCTCTGATCCAGGACTTGGCCTTGGAGCGGTTGGCTCGCGCACCGATAATATGAAAGAGGAAGATCAAGGCCGAGATGGCGAGGATGACGCCCTCCGCCTTGAACTCGGACAGTGAGTGGCGCTCATGGACATTGTACCACTTCGTGTATGGCCTTGACGTGGCCGCGGCACCGTCGCCTCCTATCGTCGCGGCAGGGACAGGCTCGGCGACAGGATCAGGAGCCCCAGCAAAGTCGGCAAAGTCTGCCGATTGACACGGTTAGCATTGGATGGTGGTGCAATTCTCGCAGAAAGTCCAGGGGCAAAGTCGCATCAAGTCGCATCCTCGTTTTTGCAATGCAAAATTGAATGCGAAACGCGGACATTCGCGACAGATCAAAACTTACCCGGATCAGCCTTGGGATTGACAGCAGGCTCACTGGCCTTGCCGCCGCCAAAGACGTTTTTCAAGAAATCAGCCATGACTGCTTGTGGTCGAGGCGGACGATGGAGGCGAGGGTTGAGGGGAGCGGAGAGAGAGGAGCTCCGAGCTTGTCAGCCAACGTGGAAATTTGGGAGACGTACGGAGTACGGAGTTGGTGGGTCTGCATCGTTAGCGTTGGAAGGTCTGCGGTTCTCTTTGTGAGCTTTAAACGTATGCCAAAGTATCCCGGAGCTCCTCCTACCATCGATACCGTAAATGAAGCGGACCGAAAAAATTATCCAGATCCATACGACCTGTTGCGAGATGGTTTATAGCCAGTTGGCTGGTGTGTTTGGAGCTTTCAATGTCCAGCACCCCTTGGCAAACATCATTCTTCAGGCGTTCGAGCCAACCAACCGACTGTGCATTCAGACAGCCCAAGACATGGAGACAAAGGGAAAATGTCAATGTCATTTTTACCCACAAGAGGGCCACTTGGTTCCGTGATGACAGGATATATTCAAGTTAGACGCTTGCATTCTTCATAACGTTGCATTACCGGTGCCTGCTTCCACGTCACAGCAAGCTCCAGGAGTCCAGGGAGCTCCCAGTTGATGGGAGCCCGTTGCCCCGCCAACCACAACTTGAACATGCATACGCCTCGGCCCTGACGAATATGGACTATGGACCTTGGACCTTGGACCTACGCCTTCATACAGCAATCATGACAGCTTTGAAACTAATTTCAAAATGCCTCGAACGAAAGTGACAGTAAAATATGGCAAACGGTCGACGCGGACCAAGGCCGAACGCCTATTCGCCGAGCTGCCCCAGAGTCCAGTGCGAAGACCGACAGTTCTGGACATCGACGATACTTCTGTAGCTTCAGTGACAAAAAAGCTTTCGATAGTGCAAATAGAAGACGAGCAAAATCAGCTACGAAGATCACCTCGGAAAAGCGTCAAGCGCATAGAAATCATAGATGATGCGACAGACTCCTCAGACACCCCAGAAGATCTAGGCGACTCGGACTATAGAAATTCCAAGGGAGATTCTCAAGACACTGCCTCTCGAAGCAATGATGCCGGCGAGGAAGACGGGGAAGAGCATTCACTGGAAGAAATAGCTGGCGACACATCACTTCGAATCTTGACCTGGGACGAGGTTTGCCCCCCAGGAGACCGCATAGAGAAGATCGCAGAGGCTTCCTATGCAGAGGTATACCGCGTCACAAATGAGCGAGGAACCAGTGTGATTAAGGTCATCCGATTGCCCTCGCCGATCAAACCCCAGACCAAAGCCCAGGTGCGATCCAAGCTTGTCGACGAAGAGCCCCATTCCGAGGAGGATGTCAACGGCGAGTTGCAGATATCCGAGTGGTTGGCCGACATCCCTGGGTTTGTGGTATACAAGGAGAGATATATTGTCCAAGGAAAGACGTCGAGAGCGTTACTCGAGACGCACCAGGTGTTTCAGAGGCGGATGAAGAGAAAGGACCCTGGACGAGCGCAGTTTTATCCATCACCAAGTCGGTATCTGGATGATACGAAATTTTTGGTTGTCGAGTTGGGGGATGCTGGCACTGCGTTGGAGGATTGGGAGTTGAGAAATGAGAGTGAGCTATGGGACATTTTCTTCCTGGAGGCCATTGCCTTGGCTAGGGCGGAGGAGGTCGCCATGTTTGAGGTAAGAGACATTATGCTTTCTATAGAGGAGGAGTCGGTGACGGTGATTGGGTCTGACCCGCAGAGCTTTTAGCATCGAGATCTTCATGAAGGCAACTTGTGTATCAGACAAGTACGGCCCCCGACGCAAAGGAAACCTGGATCGCAGGGATACTTTGGCTATTCAGGCGTCGACATCACCATCCTGGACTACGGACTGTCACGAGCAGAGGATCTGTCCGTCGACTTTGCAAAACCGATTGCCTACGACCTGGAGCGCGATCTTAGTTTATTCACGAGCACCCATGCTGCGCAATGCAAAGTATACCGTCAAATGCGGTCTTTCCTGCTTCGAGCGGACCGCAAGTGTCTTCCTCCCGAGGCACACAAGACTCCCTATGCCAAGGGCGTCGACGGACCACTCTGCTGGGAGGCATATGTGCCATACACTAATGTGCTGTGGTTGGCTTACCTTTACGAATACCTGCTTGATAACTTTCAAGGGGACGCGAAGGGGCTGGCGCATTTCGAGGAACAGACGGCCGATATGTGGGCGTACTTGAACCCCGATGCCGACGACAGTGTGCCCTGCTTCGGCGCCGCAGGCGATATTGTATGCTTTGCCGTCGAATCAGGCTGGATCCGGCAAGAGCAGCTGCTCGGATCAGAGGCATCAATGATTGAGAGAGAAGATAGCATCATTATATCGAAAGAAGATGGGGACATGGACGTCTGGTCGAGGCGGTTGTCGAAGAGGTTCACGAGCTGAGACGTTGGACTGATTTTAAATCTTTTCTGTATCGCACGGCACGTCGTTGCATGCCGCAGGGATGTCTATTTCTGGTGTTTATATTTGAGGAGGTGGCGTTAGGAATTATAGATACCATTCAGCGTGTTGGGACTTGGCATGGAGTGTTCATAGTCGGGTCATTTTGCATATATGTACAGTTTGGATACCATGGTAAAATTTTGGCATTGTTCGCACTACTACTGCAACGTGGAAATGAAGGCAAGCACAGAGTTGAGGAGGTTGCGCGCACCACGATACTGAAAAGGTCCATCATGTCCGATTTCTGGGGCCATTAGCCAGCTTCAGGGCGGAGGCCCCCGGAAGGTGGCATTGACCAGGTATGGAGGAGCTCGTGATGGATAGCGGAGGGTGCGCAGGTACGCTGCGATAGGTGCGGCGATCAATGTCAGGCGAGGTACCCCTCTAGCGAGCCTAAACAAGGCACCACGGGACACCCGTCGCCGAGGTCAACGAGATGAACGAATCGCCTGTAGTTCGGCACCAGCGGCGAGCCGTCATTGGTTGGCTGCCCAAGAGTCGCTCTGGAGACGTCCTGCAGCTGGCCCAAGGAACGATTTCACACTTGACTGTTTTGTCCAGGAAGCCTCGGCTCAACGACGCCATCCACTCTCTACACGACGACGACCGAAAAACCCACTTTTGATCTCTCTCGACTGCCTCCCCGACTGTCCGACTGGCATGTTCGACGACGGCGCCGGACCACATGTCATGTCGCGGTCCGCCATTTGATTTGGCTCTGGCACGCCGTTTTCGATTCCACTCTTCTCCCACTCGTGCGTCCCTTGTGGTGGTGCTGCACGACATAGCATCGTCTTCGAAATCATCATAACATCTGCGCCTTGACTTGACCAGCTTCGCCGTCGGCTTCCCACCTCCTCCATTAGGCTTGCACGGGTTTTGCGAATACGAGGGTCTGGGAGTCGCATCTCCTCCCTTCTTCCATCCCCAATCCATCGATCGTGTTGGTTTCAAGGAAAGCCCAAAACACAACGGTAGACGTCTTCCGGACCCTATCCGCCGTCGCCCATGCCGACTTGGTAACCCTCTTGCCCAAATCCTTGGTTGCCTGCCATGTCATCAGTCAATGGATCGTCCTTCGCTGCCGGCAGTCCCGCCCCGCCCCCCTCTGCTTCGGATGCAGCATCGTCTTCGAAATCATCATAACATCTGCGCCTTGACTTGACCAGCTTCGCCGTCGGCTTCCCACCTCCTCCATTAGGCTTGCACGGGTTTTGCGAATACGAGGGTCTGGGAGTCGCATCTCCTCCCTTCTTCCATCCCCAATCCATCGATCGTGTTGGTTTCAAGGAAAGCCCAAAACACAACGGTAGACGTCTTCCGGACCCTATCCGCCGTCGCCCATGCCGACTTGGTAACCCTCTTGCCCAAATCCTTGGTTGCCTGCCATGTCATCAGTCAATGGATCGTCCTTCGCTGCCGGCAGTCCCGCCATGACCGCCTCTGCTTCGGATGCATTTGGCCGCAACCTTCTTTCGTCGTCAATTTCCTCACTGCAGTCCTCCACTATCGCGTCGAGGCATACGTCTCGGATTTCCAAGACATATCGCCAAGCCTCAACCTTGTTTCTGACGCGTCGTCTGCCCGAGGCCCTCACCACTCTAACACCGCTCATCACCCCGCCTGGTTCAGCTGACGATGGCGAGCCTGCGCCTGTGGCTGGTGCTTCGAGAACAACGAGGATCAAGGTGTGGAGCTTGTATTTGACTATTCTCAATGCCATTTTGGAAATGGACCCCGAAGAGGGAAAGGATGCTTTTGGTCACCAGGAATGGAGGGCGCTGTGCTCAAAGGTCCGTGACGGACAAGTCTGGGAGGAGGTTGTTCAAAACGGCTACCATGGTGTTGAGGGTGACGTTGATTCGGACGTTGTCATCAACCTGTAGGGAATTCCTGCCCCCCTTTACCCGTCTTTTCTCTTAAGCTTGGCTACAATTTACGACTAACCAGTTTCCATACAGGGCAACTATTCTACTCGCGCATGCTCGCGATCAGATATTGAACCAGCGTCGGCTGGAGACCTATCTGGCCACCACAACCACGCCAAATCTCAATCTGGCGAGCAAGCTCAACGGCTCGCCTGCACCGGGGTCGCGTATGGGCTCTCGATACCGGTCACCGGCTCCAGGCACCAGTGGTGCGAACACTCCACGTGATCTCAATGCTCGAGTCAAAATTCTTGAGCTGTATACTCTGCACGTCTTGCTGCGGAATAATGAATGGGACTATGCGCGTGAGTTTATCAGTGTGAGCTCCGTTTTGGATGATGAGCGAAGGGAGGCATTCCTCCAGGCGCTTCAGAGTTTGCAAGAAGAGCAGCAAGAGCAAGAGCGCTTGGAACGAGAAGAGCACCAAAGGCAAGAAGAGCAGCTTCGCCGAGAAGTCGAGGATGCCAAGCGGCAACGTGCGGAAATTGAAGCCAGGGAACGAAAGAGACTTGAGGAGGAGCGAGCAAGACGAGAAGCTAGTGAAGTTGACTATGGCGTTGAACAATCGCCTAGTTCGTCAACAAGCGGCAACAGGTCTCGCCAATCTCGCGCAAGTAGACCACAACACCGGCCGAATAAGCCTTCTATCTCATCAAGACAGAATGGCAAGGCTGTCGCACCTGCGACATTTACTGCGCGAGCCACTATGGTCGTGACCAGGTTACGATCGGTGGTTGAGGAGCTGGCAAGGTCTTTAAACAGCAACCCGGCTTTACTGATGAGATTTTTAGCCTTTGTTGTTGGATTCTTGATCATGCTTGGGCACAAGGGTATCAGACAACGAATCCAGAGAGTCTTGGCCGCTTCGTGGAACAAAGTCAGGGCCACGGCCGGTATGGGTACTAAGGTCAGCTATATTTAGACCGACTCTTGTATTATATGAACTATCGCATCATGAGGAGTTATGAACGGAACGGGACTTTCTTTTGTATCAAGTACGTGGGTATATTATCGTTGGGGTATGACTTGGCTAGGCTGATGCCGAGGCAACAACGCAAGTTGTCCTGTAGATTACAGCTGCGGCGTGCTCCAAGTATTCTGCATCTCACTTGAATATACATTTTCAAATACTGTAACATGTCGTGGCTTATAAATATCTCTCCTTTTACTAGTATGTGAACAGCCTTCAAGTTGGTAACGTCGTCATTGAAAGTAGGGAGTATTGCGACTTCTTTTGGCCCTAAACAGATACAAATTTGCCAGAACTTTGGCATTCACGCCTCTATACTCCAAAACGCCGAAAAAATCTAACATGTCGAACATTACTAAGTATATTCCAGCATGATTCCCAGACACAAAAAACCCTACTGCCCAGACCCGGGCCACTCCAAGGCTAGTAATTCGCCGACCGATTCGTTTTCTTTTGATAGAATAGCTGTACATACACGTATTAGTATTGAACTCGTCCAACTTTTAGCCAGCGCGCGAAAGGGAGGGGGAAAAAAACTTACATCTGTCCTCGAACTACCTAGGTTTATAATCTTCGGACAGCCGTCACGATCCTTCTCCAGCCGCGTACACTCGAAGCAGTAAAACGCGTCCGAGATGCCCTCGCCGCCGCACACGACACACTTGTTCTGGTAGTTGCCAAAACTGCATTCGTCACAGATGCGCACGAGCGTGGTAGGACGCACGTAGGAGTCGCAGACGGGGCATTTCCCGTCGCACTTATCGCAGAGGCGGCCGATGGCGATGCCGGACTGTTTGCGGCACATGACGAGATCGCTGCGGGGATGATTGTTAGCTCGCTGCTTGGAGCATGGGTGAAGCTCGGCATGGGGATGGAGACTTACGGATGATGGCGAGACATGATGGCGGTCGACGGGCGCGATGATAAGACAAAGAATTAGATGCTGTTGCCAAAGAACGAAATAGAGGTCCAGGAGGATTTTTTCTCTTTTTTTTTTTCGCCGCCGGAGTTTAGTAGAAACTTTTTGGATTTCTCAGCCTTGCGTGGCGGTCGATGCTGGAGGTTGATGAGCAAAACCTCGGCCGGGCACAGTCGGCCAATCAGGTCATTTGCGCTGTGCGATGATTCCAGGGAGCCAGCTGTCAACTGGCTGGGGCCCCACTCTGCGCAACTCGACGAACGAGGATTTTGTGACACGGGAAGCTTGCTTCGACGATTATTGATTTTTCCACACAGCCGACGAAAAGTTTTGAAATCCCAGCATCGCGGTATATTGCACAGCACGGGGAGCTGATTGCAGGGGATAGATGGACGCCGTCCATTGACGTTTCAAATTTGGATACATGCGATAAGCCCAGCAACCCGGCCCATCATGGCCACGGAGACGTATGGTGCAGCCTTTGTTCCCTCCATATCCGCTACTGCATTGTCAGAGTCTGATCTGTTGAAATTAGCATCCCCCCAGCCGTGGGCGGATCGCCAAAGCTGGAAGAGCAAGAAAAGTCCCGGCGTGAAGAAGCACCCCTGAAAAGAAAAGCATCACTTGCTGACGACGATGACTCGTCCTACACCAAGCGCCAGCGACAAGACGACGACCGCTCGCCGCCACGTCGCAGAACGTCTATCCAATCGACGGCCCAAGACCGAAGGGCATCCGCCACACAGGAGGAAAAGAAGCGCGGGAAGCGGTTATTCGGCGGTCTCCTGAGCACACTCAGCCAGACGAGCACCAACTCGCAGCACAAACGACGGCAAGAGATCGAACGGAGACAGCAGGAACGCATGCAGAAGCAGAGAGACGAGGACGACAAGAAACGTGCGGACAAGGTGGCAAGGATAAAGGAGACTAGGATCGTGGAACAGATTGATTTCGAGGAGGAGGTGGTAAGTGTTGACAATGGTGGCTTACTTTGCCCCCGGGGGGGGGGGGGGGGGGGGGGGGGGGGGGGGGGGGGGGGG